GGGGTTTGTTATGGTCATAAATTTTGGAAGATGAACGGTTTAATCAATTTAGACGGAAGCTAATTGACACATTTGAAAAAAAGAAAAAGATTCGTACCGCCAAAATACTATCCATGGTTCCTAACTGTTCAGATAAAACCATTAAGGAGACTGGTTTCATTGATTGAGCAACAAAATGAACAATTCACACAAGGGCAATACACATTCAGGACTAATGGCTTATGGGAACTGAATGAATGAATGCATAATGAACAAATTGGACGTGTTGATATTTTTGCCCGTCTGCGTTTCTCAGTCTGTATACGCTCCACGTGTTTTTCGTCAGACACTATCAGCGCAATCGTTATCAAATGAACTCGACTGACGAACAGGCTATATGTGTGTGTATGTGAATGACACAACACAGACGAAACACAGACGGATTCGCTGGTTTCCACCTCGTTAACCAGTGTACTGGTCAAGTCCAGTTCAGTTTGAATGACAGCCTTGAAACCCTCACAGCTGAAGTTGTTCGAATGCATATGAGCGAAACCGGGAATCCGAAAAAAACGAGAGATAATAGCAAGAAAAATTGCATTTTTGAGTCATTAAAACGAGGCATTTTGAGGCGCACTATAATTCTGAGAAATTTGGACAAGAAACGAGGCACTTGAATTCAAAACACACAGGAACTATTTGTTTCCCTAACATATTCGCTAGAGAAAAGTTGAAGAAAACGTTTTTGTACAAAAGAGGCATTCGAATTCCATTTAGCGCAGATCTTGTGCAAAATGTAAATTTTTCAAGATCACCATGAGAAATTCCGACCATCGTATTGCCGAAGTTGTGACTACGGCACATGGTCGGCGTAACCATCAACACCTTGTAAGAAAAGGAACGGACAAGTTTCGCATACCACGGCACGATATATTCAACCTGATTTGTATTTGTATAGCTCGTGTAAGTTTGCAAGTAGCCACACCGCCTCCGGGTTTTTTCCTACTTCGCCGTGTATCCTGCCGGTAGCAATCAAACCCTTCTATTCGCACTAGCACGTCCTCAATGTTTTGCTTCAACCAGATTTCTTGTACACAAGCAACACGTGTTGGAATTTATGCGTGTTCAAAAGGGAGGTTAAATCCGAGATCTTCGCGAATAGCGAGCGAACGTTAGTACTGACCACTCATGGCACAGTCATCTTGGCAGGAGGGGNGCCAGTAAGTGCAGTCTGCCATCCGACCCGTCTGCGTTCTTCGATCCAAGGACTTGTATGACTCTCACCAAGCAAACAATTAGCGGGTAGCACAGAATTTACAGCTATTAGTCGTAGCATGTCCTGATAAGAATATTTCTAGATCCTGGACATGGTAAGCACCAATATACGGACGAGACAAACGATAAATTCCAACGTGACGAACAAGCACGAAAGTGTAGCGCAGTCAATCGAAGGGTGCACACGATGCAGCCATCAATGGTTGCTTCTTTAAACTGCTTTTTGAAAGTAGTGTTTCTGTTTACTGTGGAAATAATACAAAATACCTTGACTTCCGTCATGTGTGTTGCCCTCTCGTTAACGTTCATCTAAGGACCAACCGGTTCGTCTCTGATAGATTGTTGTGTAGAGAGAAAGAAAAATTGTGGCCCGTGTGATCTATCACCGACCAAATGAAGGAAACAATAGCCGTAAACAGCACCAAGCTGTGATTCGCGTACAGTGACAAACACTAACTAAAACTCCTCTGAAGTCGGTCACTTAAGCTTACTACCTCTTGCGAAGTCAATGAGCTGAACAGATCTTTTTGCTATGGGAAACAATATCAAGTAACGGTTACCGATATCAAGCAGAGCAACACTCGATCTCCAACCGTTTCCGATTGAAAGCTACTAACACTAGGAAGTCACGCATTCCAGATGGCCAAATCCCTATGGTTTTGAAAACGTATGCAAAACATCCAGCGCAAACGTTTTCATCAATCTTCAAACAGTATTTGGAGGAAGACAAGCTGTTTAGCACCTGATGCGACGTCCGTTTCACTCCTGGACCTAAGAAGCAGAACAGAAAGTTTCGTCCCCTTGTCTCATCTACCAAACTACTGAGGGACATTCGAGCGCAGCACCATTATTAGTGTTCGGTTATTGTTAAATACTCTAACCAGTTCACTCATTGTAAAGGCCACTCTACTGTCGAAGCAACTGTCTACTAGATTTATTCCATTCTGTCCATGACTGATAAAAAGGACAAGATTATCAATGTTTACGCTTTTGTACTGCAACAAATGCTTTCAAATCAATTGCCTCCTTACAGTACAATCTGCCTCATTGGGCTTGTGACTATTTCATGGATCAGTACCAGTTCATATATCCCAATGGCATTAGGTCTTCCACTAGTTCTATAAAAGATGTGCTGTAGGGTGCTATCTTAACCCATTTGTTATTGTCTCTTTGTTTTCAAAATGTACCACTTGCTTCGTTAATTTTCACCAACATACGTAGCAGTTGCATCTATATCCCACAACAATGCGTTTATTAACCCGCTTCAGTCAACCACAAAATCTATTCCACTAGAATCTGACAACGTGAATCTATCACTAGATCCCTGAAGATGTGTTGAAATTCTCTTTGCCGTTAGTTATAGAACTGTTTTGCCGAATAGGCATTTATTCCCTGTATTCTAGTTACCGAAGGAATCATTGAAAGGTCACAGCAATTCAAATACCGTGGAAGTTTCGTTTCTACCGATCACAAACGGTCGCATCATGCACAACAGACAGCCTAAAATCAAGGGGCGGACCCTTTACGATCAAGAAAGTAGCGGGTAACATGGAGCATTCTTTCGAAATTCATTCATTCTTGTGTTTTGTAACGATGGGCTAACTGTGCCTTTGGTACTTCCTCTGTTCTGCGATTCAAGGATTTTATTTTAATTAGACGCTTTCTCAGACTAATTCCTAATCTGGAAGTGTTTCGAAGTGCAGCGCTTGTCGGTTTCAGCTTGTGGCTGTCCGTGCGACTTAATTCTGGCGGGCGATTTACAATCCCTGCATCGGACACGTTATCTGTTATCTGTGATAAAGTTAGACCGTTAAATACTCCTATCACAGCTGTTCCCTGTCGTTCCGGTTTCTTCACTTCCATGGGACAATTGCAGTTGTCCATTCTTGACTGCATTTCCATCTGATTCTTATATTTCACTATTTTGTTGAATTACCACTACAAGATCAGATTGCCATCTAACAAACCTGAGCACAAAAATACAGTCTCTCGCAACAATGCGGTCAAAGACCAGTGATAGAGTGATACAGAGATGGTTTTACGAGACTTAAACTCCAACGAGGTAAAAACTCAAGCCGTACGGAGAGTTGATTAATTATTACACTTACCATTCGGCAAAAGCCAATCCAAATTCGGCCATCGAGTAACCATCGGGTCAAGCAGGCGGTCTAATTCAAGCCATACATCCAGCCTATCACGCCAAACCGCAACTGTCCGGTGCACGAGAGAAACAACGAAACGAGATTGTGAATACATTTTTCCGGCGGTTTGTAACACCCGTGCCTGAGTAGATGTGGTCTGAGGTGTAAGTACCGGAGCTTCGGGGACTGGGTCCTGATTAAGCGGTTCGGTTGATGGAGATGGAGAACGACGACGGGGACGGACTGATCCGGTAGAATGAGGACCGTGTATGTGACGGGGAATGAAGTGATCACCTCCACAGGACAGTGGAGTTTGTAAGGGAACTACTTTGATTAGAGCGATACGCCATCGTCGGGGCCATGGGAGTAAACCCAACAGGGACAGACCGATCACAATATGCCAGAGACTATGCACACGTGCATAATTCCGACTCATCCACGGCGATAGGAATAGAATAAGGCCAATTCCAGCTAGCAAGAGGCCAGGGAAAAAGCTGACCAACCACCACTGAACGGGTGGAAACAACCGACCGGTGCGCTTGGATCGACAAGTCTGGGGAAGAAACAGTTGGAAGATAAATGTGGTTGGAACAGAAGCAATCCCTTTTTTTTAACATCATCATCATCATGAATAACAGAATTTGGATGAATGATGTCACAATTATATTTTCGTTACGTCTGATGGATCGGATACAAAAAAGTAAAGGAGAAAGCAAGAAAATTAAAACAAAAGAACGACCAAGTAAGCAAACTTTCCCCAGAGATAGAAGAAAACAAAAAATCCTCATTCAGTTAGTGCCGTTGAAACTTCAACCTGGGTAGGATGTCTTTGGGTAAATTAACCTGTTAACGTGATACCTCATTAGAACGAAAACCTATGGACACAGATTATTAGTTGTTTAAGCGACGACGGATGGACATCAGAAGGATTGCCGAATCGAAATCAGCTGGCGAGTTTTGCATCACAGGCCAAACTACAATCAACGACCTGAAGTTAAAACCTTTTTGTTTTAGAGCCAAAAATGAATCCAGGAATGCGACATGAGAAATATTGACACTTTATACTCCACCAAAACACATCACGTTTCGTCAGCGTGATCTTTCCCCGGACAATATTGCCTTGCTTAGATCGTCTCTTTAGGTAGTTACCGACTGTTTTCCTTTAAACACAACCTGTTTGCCAAGTATGACATTTCTGACAGAAGTGTTGAACTGTGTTTTTTGACATATGCTGTCCTGTGATAACTCTATTCTTTCAAAATGGCAGAATGTCAACCCCTTTTCTTAAACGTCTTCGCCGTGAAAAGGAACGCGCATTTAAATGTGGCAGGAGGGCCGAAATGCAACGATTATCGTCCCTGATCAAGAGTGAAATAAGACGGTTGGACGCCCTTTATGCAAGTCAGTCTTTTTGGGACGAGGAACTGTAAATCTATGTGGCGTGGAATCAATCTTCTCTGCAGACAGAAGAAAGTGATTTCCAGTCCCTTTATCGATATTGAAAAACTGAATAATGCATTTATTCATTCTTCGTCCGATAAATATCCCAGTTATGCTGATTCCTGTTCTCCAAACGTCCAAACTTCGTTTGATCCCATCATCTCTGGTGAGATGTATAAACACATGTGTTCTCTCAAGGTGTCCACCGCACCTAGTTCTGACGACTTAAGTCTCACCGTTCTTAAACACGGTGCTCTACCACGGTCTCAGATTTTCGCACACATAGCTAATCTTTCACTCAAACTCCGAACTATTCCAGACTGCTGGCGCCCAGTGAGAATTACTCCCATCGCAAAAGGAACGTCAAAGGTCTCAATAGCGAAGCGTTTTAGACCAATTGCTCTCACCTCAACTGGTTTGAAATTGATGGAGAGATCAGTTCTGCACCGTCTTCAGTTATCTTTTACCACCTCTGATGACACTAATCAGTTTACATATAAAAACACAACCGCTCTACATTAGATGCCGTGTCTTCTCTAGTCCATTTCATCTGTAAGTCCCTTAATGAAAAAGCTAAATATATGCTCTGTGCATTTTTTTGACTACTCCGCCGCTTTCGACTCGGTGCCTCACTGTCTTTTACTTAACAAGCTTCAAGCTTTTGGCTGTCCAGCTTCTCTTCTTGAATGGCTTGCAGACCACTTTTCACAAAGATATCAGAATGTTAAGTTGGGACGAAGACAGTCAACCGCGTCATTCAATAGCTCAGGTGTACTTCAAGGTGCTGTCCTATCACCTTCTTTTTTCGACTTATATTAGTGACTTACCTGTTACTCCCCCTGTTCGACATTTTAAGTATGCTGATGATATCGCCATTTCTGTTTCCATA